GAATGTTTGAGGTTTAACTAGAAGCTATTACTGTAAAGTAGATGTGTGCAAAATTTCATTGGAATCGGTTGAGAACTTTTTGAGTTATCCCCCCCGCAAATTTCAAAAATGTCGTTTTGAGAAAAACGCGTTTAAAGTTTTGACACAGAAACAGATAAGAGTACAATAGCACTCGAGCGTCGAGTTGAGGCGTGGCACTTAAATGAGTTTTTATTGTATAAATAATGATAATTTTGTTTTGAATATTTACAGGCATATTTTTGAGATGTTATTGTAACGATTTATGAAAGAAAAAAAAATCGATTTTTTTTTTCTTGTTACATGTATCGCCCCCCTTAAGGTTTCTAAAAACGTTATGCTCCCCCCATACAATTTTTTTTTTGTTCCTGAAAAAATACAAATGATAACTTTTAAGATAAAATCACTATTAAATTCTGATTAGACATCATAAGTCAAGAATAAGTCAAAAAAAACGAAAATTTCAAACTAATTTTATTACTAAACTTTTTAAAAAGTCAGGTCAGCCCGGGAGAAAAAATATAACTTCGACACTAGGCAAGCAAGGTTAAAAACTAAGACCTAAGTTCAATCTAGCATTTTTTGTTAAATGTTTTACCGATACTATACTAATTTAAATTCAAATCACGAAAATTTTCAAATTGCCCCCCTGAATTTACAAATTGCCCACCGGTGGGGCGTGTGCCCCACGTTGGGAATCACTGGTCTAATCGAAAAGTACTGCATCCTGCATCACAACACAGCACGTATCAAACAAGCAACTATGAACTATGTTCAGTAAAATTCGCAGTTAATTCCTAATTGTAAAAAAATTTTTCAGATATTTTTTTAAAATTTGTAATCTGTCCCTTTTTAACCCAAGAGCTAAGTAAAAAGATATAGTCATCGGGCGAACAGAAATATTTAAACAAATTTGTACGAAATTTTAGCCATATTATTATACCAATGCAAAATAAAAATTTTATGGCCATATTTTTACAAAGATCACACCGTATATAACATTGATCAGGTATTTCGTCAGATCAGCAGTGTTGGAATAACTATTTATTAAATGTTTCTCTTGTAAAATTGCTTTCTTTAACTTAATTTACTATTATTAAACTCTTACTAATTATTTATTATTTTTAACACCTTTGCCAAGGTAAAGGTTCAAAGGTCCTTTTTACCCCACTCACATATGAGCTAATATAGAGGTTATATAAAAACAACTGTTCAATCTAACTTAAAATTAACTATACATCTTATAAAACAATTAAATGACGCATACTTAGAAATCATATTAAGATCTTGTAAACTAAACAACAGTGCTCACAACCAATAAAACTAATAACAAAACAAAAAAAACTTTTGTTATGGATTTTTAAACATTGCCGTTTATCTCCTGATAGCGACGACGTTAGAATTAAGGTGATGGCTGGTTTTACATCTTTTACACTCTTCTCTCTAATATTGTTATTAAAAAAATCATAACTTTACTTGTTTCTGAGATATTGGTGGTGCACCTTTATATATATATATATATATATATATATATATATATATATATATATATATATATATATATATTAGGGTGGTCCTTAAAATGGTCATTTTCAAATTTCCTTGCTCCCAGGGGCTCAAATGGTTCCAAATAGATAAAAAACAATTCTCTGAAAGTTTTAGCTCTTAATATTAACGTTTAGATAGAGCGCAATTTAATCAAAGTTTTGTATGGAAATAGCATGAAAAAATTTTCAAAAATTTTAAACATGTTTTTTAGATGTAATTTAGCGAACAAATGAATGAATAAAACGCATTCATTTGTCGCTAAGTTATACCTAAAACATTTTTTTTAAATTTTCAAAATTTTTTCCATGCTCTTTCCATACAAAGTTTGATTGAATTGCGCTCTATCTAAACGTTAATATTAAGAGCTAAAACTGTTAAGATTTGTTTTTTATCAGTTTGGAACCATTTGAGCCCCTGGGAGGAGCAAGGAAATTCGAAAATGACCGTTTTAAGGACCACCCTAATATATATATATATATATATATATATATATATATATATATATATATATATATATATATATATATATATATATTATCTGATTGTATACAAATTCTGCTCTCCATTATGACGATTTTGCATTATGAATGCTGCCATTTGGGATAAAGAACACGGAAGCAGCGTGTAAGCGAAAAATTTGGTTTTTTGGAAATGCGAAAGTTCACCGGAAGCATGAAGTTGTTCCGCACGGATTGCACGATGAGCATTTCACATCGCATCAAGCCATGGGAAATGAATTTTTAATGTCAGAGTAAACATCGGGGAACCGACGAGGACTAAGGCGAGCAAGCCTCGCAACCTACGCGCGAATCCGTTCGGTAAATATTGTTCTACAGGGGTTATAACACTCTGACACTCGCTGAGGGCTAAAACTGACATGTCATACGATTTCACACTGATTCACGCGCAATTAAAGATCATATGGGCGTCCGAGTAGCGCGCGCTGACGTGCACGCATAAAAAACACGTGGGAGATCAAAAAGCAGACGGAGGTGAGGATCGGCAGAAGCTTTCAATGAAAAAATTGAATGAAATGTATAAACCGAATAAGAGTCTATATTTAAAATATATACATTTTCATACGCCGTTTGTCTGTTAACGTGAATTAAGTTAAAATAATCCTCTAATAAAGAGTACGTCTCAAGAGCTCCCACTTATAAGCTGAATTCAATAAATATGAACAATTCATACCTTACGAAAATTATTTAATGCTACTCAAAAATCTCATGGCTGTACTAATTAGGTTTAAAAGTATTCGATAAGATGTAAGTACAGTAGGCCCTCGCTTTACACGGCACTCTGGGTACACGGTTCCCATACTACACGGAGCAAAAATCCGACATCCCTCCGACTACACGGACTTCTTATTACACGGTATTTGGTCAACAGCCCATAAGTTCGTTGTGCAAAAGGGTATTGATGTAAATTTTGTTATCGACTTTTATCTTTTAGACATGCCTGATTGTATAATAGTCGCCTAAGAACACGTTTGAGCTGACTACTGCGTCGCGCCAATTTTTGAATAAGGTGTCAATGTCCTACATGTCATTTCGTCCGTATTTCTCCTACTTCAAGTTGTATTTCTTGGTCTCCATACAACGCGATAAAAATGGTGCGATTTGTACCAACTCTGAGTCTCTCATAGCACGGTTTCCATACTGCACTATGTAAGGTTCCATAGAACGCACTACGAATTAGCCTTAATTGTATCTTAAATACGAGTTTCTTATAGCACGGTTCCTATACTGCACGGTACGCACTTGCCGCGTAAAGCGAGGGTTTACTGTATTTCAAACGATCGTAAAAATCGTAAACAAGATAAGATACTAATTAGCCATTATAAATACATTTACATTTTCAAGCATTACTTTTAATTTATGTGTAATATTTTTTATTGTTTTACTTGAAAAGAAAAAAATATAGGGGAGACTGGATACGATTACGCCACTTTTATCTGATCAGCAATAATTTTGTTAATTTACCAGTTAGCTGGGAAAAAAGTAAATTAAAGTAATTTAAACATTTGTCTATGTAAAAATACTAAAATACCGTCCTTAAATACGATGGGTTTGTCGTAAATTCAAATCATACAAGAAAGGGCGAAAACCGACATGTCATACGATTTCACACTGCATCAAAATAGATTAAAAAACAAAAGCTATAAACATCATAATAGTTTATAACAACTTTTATTGTCGTTAATAACAATGATATGTAATACAAAACACAAGGCAACAGAAACATTTAAACAAAACTTATGAACAATATATAACAAAACATGACTTTTTAAACAAAGTTATCAAGATTTTTGTGTGAATTCTTTATTTTTTTGTACTGAATTATCCTTTTCCTTTCTATTTCGTATTTTGTCTTCGTTTAGTTGAATTCATTTATCTGTTTAATCTTTACCAAAAAATAGAAGAAATACATGTCACTCTATACCCACAATTTTTTTCGCAAACGTACCCAATGTACGATTTTAAAACATATTATTAAATCTGAGCTAAATTATCTAAACAAAAACGGTATTTATCACATAACTAATGATACATATATAATAATAATTATTATTAAAAGAATTCGAACACGAAAACTTACTTTTAGCTCTTTAAAAGCAATACAGTCTACAGATTATGCTAATGTAAAACATTGACTTAAAGTAATAATGTGAACTTGTTCGAACAATCACACTTCATCTTTCTCACTTCGTATTCTATATCAAAATCAGTATAGTTTAGCTGTTATGGCAACTGTCACTACCGTACCCTGGCACAACCGTACCCAGTCTCTCTACTTAAGAAATAATAGGATAATTATTTTTTTTAAATTGATGTGGTTAGGAGTTCAATTTTTCTCTTATGAACTGTTGTACGAACTTCAGTAATTATAAACGATGTGGCTATATAGATAGGAAATCAAACGGTTGCTGTAACAATTTCAGTAATGGTGATAATTTTTTGATTGATTCAGAAATGCCGGGGAAGAGCTATTTTCACTTCGAAATCATATTGCCATCTATATTTTCAACTGAAATTCGATGTCACTGCTGCTTAACATCAGACTATACAATGTGGGTATCGAATCGGAACTTCTGTTTCGATGTTCTTAGCTCTAACCACTAAGCCTCTGGGAAGATATGGGTTTAACCAACAAAAAATGTTGAGATATTTATAGTTTAGAATAATTATAGAAACTGATTAAAACAGTCGAATTTGTTTGTTTAGAATAGATGATGGGAGCATAATTGAATAAATAATGGAAACCATTTGTAAATAAATGCATGTTTTGACATATCAATTAAATTCAATACAGCAGAGAATTTTAAAGATTAGGTATTATATTTATGTGATAAATATCAAAAATGTTTGTGCATCGTATCAACTGAATATTCTATAGAATTTATAAAAGACTATTATTAATCAAAGATAAAATACCTGAAGTAGCCTAGGAGCGCCTGTTAAACTCTGCAGTCCTGCACCCAGAGTTGATAAGAAGGAGCCGATCAGAATGACCCATTGATTAGGCCATGCGATATTAGCCACTACAAGCTTCCCTCCTATTGACTGACCGAATCTAAAATAATCAATAAAAATAAAATAAGAATTTCTCAACTATCCGTTTTCTAGAGCGCTTTTTGTAACTGAAATCTTAGTAATTAAATGAATGAAATTCTAGCAACTAAATTGGTGAAGTGTTAATAACATAAAATTGTAATCTAAAGTTGAAAACATAAAATTAATTTTTATTACTAATGTAACTTTTATTCAACTTTAATAATAATAGTAATTATTTTCAATTTCACTCAGAGAATTTAGAGTGTATCTCTTCTCCAGCTATTAAATAATCAAAAAGGCTATATTGAATTAATTTATATTTACTAATGTAACTCTTATCCAATATTAATAATAATAGTAATAATTTTTATTTTCACTCACAATCAGAGAATTTAAAGTGTATCTCTTTCCCAGCTATTAAATAATGAGAAAGGCTATAATTAATTTTCAAGAAAATTGGTCCTCATTCAGAGTTTCCAACAGTCCCGACAAGATATGAACTCAACTCATATATTGACTTATGATGAAACTAGGTTTAGGAGAAGTACGGACAAAATGAGTGTTTTGTTTTTTAATGATATTTATTTATTTAATGATATGATAATCAGTCCTAATCATTTTTCTTCATCTTATAATTAGATTCATTGACTACTAGCAATCGAGTCCTTTAAATAGACAAATAGTCCTTAATCATATATATTAAAGAAAAATGAAATCTATTACAAAAACCATTTTGTGCATATAGAATGGACAAAATGACATAAAAGGTAACGACATACCGAGATACTAATTAATAAAAAGATAATTAACAAATAAATCGTTTAGTTTTCTTCGGGACAACCTCACATGACGTATAATCCTAAAGGGAAATCACACATTGTGAACAACCTTCGCTGGACACAGAATAGCAAAATGGTATTTTGGATAAATGCTAGTCTCTTACTTTTACTGATGAATTCTTTAGCCTGATTTTAGAAGTAGTTAGAAGGTAAAAGCCAATCACTTTTGACAGGTTTCAATTTTCTTTTTTTGGGTCTATAATAAACTACCCTATACTGCTTGTGAAATAGTCATTTTGTCTTTTGTATAAGTATGTCATTATGCCCAAAACTAAGCAAAAATGAATAAATAATTACACCTGATCATTGCAATAAAATTGATTAAAATAACTACTACTAGAAACGGTTAATTGATTTTAATAGAAAGAATTACAAATAACTATAACTAAGTCTCAAAAAAAAAACATTAGCAACCCTCCGTCAAAGTAAACTTTTGAAGGCGCCATACACGTTTGAACTGATTACTAAGACAAGATTGTGAGAATGACAATCAACGTCTGATAGGATTGTGCTTATAGTTTTCTTAATGTTAAGCAGTCGCAAAAACACCACTAAACCTAGTTAATTTTTAAATAAGGTTACTGTGTCATTTTGTCCATATACACTATTTTGCCCGTATTTCCCCTACTGGAATATAAGGGCATATAAGAAAATATACAATTTGAAAGCTTAAAATAAACAAGAAACAAATTCATTTTAAATAAATCTCGGTCAAGCTATAAATATTACAAACTAATGTATTTGACTTGGACGTTTAATTTGTGACAACAATGTATGATGTTGTATCGTTGTATCAAATAACTAAGTGCGCGGGTCATAAACCGAAATTATCGCATCCATAATCCCCTTATATTCCAAGGGTTTTAATAATTTTGCTCGACGGGGTAATTTAACGTAAACTTACTTGTCTCTGAGCAATAGATTATCAACAGTGCCTGCGAATAACAACACTGTAGATAAGTAAACCGTCGAGGTCGTGAGAATGGCACATATCGTGCCCACCGGTATGGATTTTTGGGCGTCTGCTAAATCCCCGGAACGATTCGAACCGGCCATTATACCTGGAAGAGAATAGACATAAATTGATTTTAATTGTATTAATTTCATAGAAAGTCACTTCTTTCATATTATGAATACGCTCTCATAACATACGCTTGGATAATAGAAATTTTAGTATTTATTATTACTATTAATTTTTAGTATTTAATTAAATTTTAGTATTGACTATTATTATAAGAATAATTTATTCTATATTGCTAAAATATGTAGGCAAACTAGGGGCTATCTGTAACAGGGGTAACTAGGCGTTTTTATAAGGATTTTAAATGATATTAACATATTTTTTTGTTTCGATTGAACATTTACACAGTTCTGCATAATATTGTCATAGCTACTGTCCCGCAGGCCGATGCAATATATAAACTGTGCAGGTCCGTCGTTTTTGGTTTATTATTTTTATCGACCAATTTTAAATTTTATACATATTAATAATTCATTGATTATTGTAAAAAAACATACCTGGGGTTATTTGAAATATACAAGAATTATATACAGATTAAAGTGAAGATGATTAATTGGAATGCATAGTTTGTAAGATATGAGAACATGTACAATGTGTTACAGGAAACACTATCTTTCAAATGTATTAATTGCAGTTTACTCTATAACATAACCATATTTTTTATATGCATTAATTATAGTTTACGTTGATTTATGAAAACAATTACTTGGAATCTTAAAATTAACCAGAAATATCATTTTTCTTTTATTAATATGTAATTTTTTTTGTCGTTACTACTTGCTCCGATAGATGTCACAACTACCAACAAACACGAGGTAAGTTGCAACACTAGACTTTTTCTAAAAAATGATTAATTATAAAATAATAAACAATAATTATAAAATTATTTGTATGAAATTTTGTAAAGGAATAGTTATAGCATATATTCATCTTTAGTCTATAGAAATATGATAAATGGATCTCGAGATATGTATATGAATTAAAAAAAGCAGTTCAACGAGCTTCTAGCCTCCCTATATCTATTCAAAATGTATAAAAAAATTAACAAGCTTTAAAAAAGGTTAAAATTACACTTAAATTTAATATTTATAGACAATAATTGTTTTTCTCATCTCTACCTCTTTTTTAAAGTTGGAATAACCATTTCATGATTGTGATTGAAAACATATGGCTAGTATAAGAATTAACCCTTAAAAGTTTTTAAAGTTTTAAAATTTTAAATTTTAAATTGTTTTATATTGATTACTTGTTAGGTTTGTGCAAAAACTAGATAACAAATTCACAAAATATATGAAAAAAATCTACGAAATCAAGCATGAAAAAAACATTTTTTCATTTTAAAAAAATGTATTTAATAACTACGATAAAAATTCGTGCCTAAAAATGCTTTTACTCGTCGTCTCTCTATACACAATTTATGCATTTATCCAACTAGAATCAAAATAGTGAAATATAGCTAAAGTTGCTAACTCAAATTTTCGACTTTACGTTACATTTCTTATCCATCTGGTCTACCACATTTTCATCTAACAACTAATAAAAATGTATATGGATACTGTTTAAAACAAACACTGTTTATATAAATTTCTAAAAAAAATTGTGACTGAATTTATTAGTTTTAGAACAACGAACTAGCCAATTGAAGAATTGAACAATCTCTCTTGTAGTCATTACCCAAATACGGAAACTCACTTATTATGTATTTACTATTGACTTCGGCCCAAAACTCTATTCTGAATTTGTCTCGTTCATTTAGTATATTTTATATAAGTCTGCACCTACATTTTGACGAAAACAACTTCCCACATGACATTATTTTTCACAGTTAGTCCACATAATTTTTTCTCAGAAAATATAGAACGGACATTTCGTTAAAAATATTTCTGGTCGACAGAAGCTAGCAGCTCGCTTAAAACCACAAAAGAAAGATTTGCACGAAAATTCAACTTTGTCATTATTTCATAGTCACTTCGGCTTTAAAACTATTAAGTTTTGCCATACGGTCTAAAAAGTCAGAGGAAATAAATGCAGTAAAACTTAAAGTAGCAGAAAATCTACTAATACAAGACAACAATAAGTAAAAAATATCACAACCGAGATAAAGTCATTTGACAAAAATTGAAAATTAAGCAAATGAATTAAAAGATAGTTAATCACTCATTTCATTCAGCATCATTATTTGAAAATATACTGACATTGAAAATGATTAGTATAATCATGATAATATTCATATGTTTTACTGCAACTAATATGCATTTAACCACTCACAGCAAAAATAAATATAAATATAATCTATTTGCGTGGCTTTTCTAAATTATTATTTATATAATAAATGCCATATCCATAAATCTTATTTGCCAGAAATGTTTGCTGAACTGTAGTTCTCTATAATAAATAAGCATTTCTAAAATTTAACGTTAAGTTGTTAATAAATTAAACTAAAAAATAACGAAATAAAATTAGAGAAAAGTACGTTTTTATATAACAATATGAACAGCTCGTATACTGAGAGTTTATCTTCAAGAGAGAACGTAATTTAATAGCACCGTGAAATGTTTGCTTTTAGTATTAAACATAGATGAAGTCGAACATGGACAAAAGCTTTTGTTAAAATTACACCAGAACTATACGTAATAAATTGAATATTAAACTAATTTAACTCGCACAGTTGAACAAGCTACTTCAAGGGTCGATATTATAATTAGAGTAGTAATTTTGGTCAAATTTATTTTACTATTATTTTTTCCAGTCTTTTCAAAATATTTTTCACGATGAGCAATGATATTTTTGACTTATATATATATATATATATATATATATATATATATATATATATATATATATATATATTAGAGCGGGTAGATTTGTATGGGTCAAAAAAAGTCGCTTAAGCACCCATGATTTTCGGATACTAGGGATCAAAATAAGATACTTTGCTGAAGAAACTATACCTCGAAAATGAATTCTGATGACCTGTGCAATGACTCAAAAATAAGGGTTGAAATTTGAGAAATTCTATTTCTATTACAGAAAAAACAAAAACTGTGGAGAATTTTGGTACTAAATTGATAATAAAATTCAATTAATTGAGTGAGTTACTTAAAATATAAAGCAAGACTCAAGCGAAAAAATAGGTCCACCACTGATGTCTCAAAAACAAGTAAAGTTAAGATTTCTCTAACAAAAATATTTGAAAGTGGAGGGAAAAAGATGAACAACCAGCCATCGAAAAATAAACGGCAATATTTGAAAGTCCATAACAAAAGTAGTTTACAAGACCTTAATATAATTTTTAGGTATGTTATAATATGTATTGCTGATTTTAAGTGAGGTTCAACAGTTTGTTTTATATAACATTTATAAAAGCTTACACGTGGGTGGGGTAAAACGGACCAACTGAATTTTTACCCAGACAATAGTGTAAACTATAAAAAATAGTGATTAAAAAAGAGATAAATGAATTAATATTTTTTTCAACTCTGGGGATTGATATTTCTGTTTAATAATCAGATCAAGGATGTGCTTATTTTTATAAAAAAATATTTCAGAAAATTTATATTTTGCGTTGGTTAAATATTGTAGCTATTATTTCGGAAAATACTTTTGAAATTAAAAATAAGACTTTTGACCTGGTGGCATCTGGCCGTCCCATTTTACCGCGCCTATGAGATAAAAAGAATCGAAATTTTTGAAAAACAACAATGAACATCTCTACAATAATGAATTAGCTGGGAGTTTTACTAAACATAGTCTGTTTGTTTGATATGTGTGATTTGTTGTGATATAATTCGTTTGCTTTTTATAATATAATTGCTCAAAGTCAAATTGAACTTTTACCCCGCCCTATGCCATATCAAATGTACTCAACACCGATGATGACTTCACAGCCTCCATATAGACACTTTAATAATTGCAAGCAAAAAAAAAGTATATAATTATAATAATGTTTGTTTACTAAGGTAATAATATTAACTATGTCATAATATAACCATATTTTTTTTATTAAGTTTGAAGTTATTAAAAAAAATATAAATCAGTTACAAAATTAAAATAACACAAATATTTCATTTGCGAGTGCCTACTGTTAAGGAAGTAAAATTGAATACGAAAATTTTCAAATATGATAAATATGAAAAAGCTGCTAATAAAAATTTTAAGAGTAAGAGAATAAAAGCTCATGAGAAAATATCTGGACATTTTATAATAGAATTTACGAACCTATAAAATCTCTACGATGGCTCTATATAAATTATGGTTATTACAATGTGTTGTATTTAATGGATAAACTTACTATGTAGAGATATATTTATGAGTATTTCGTACTAATGACCAATTTATGACCATAATTCAGAAGACGGTAATGCGCCACGATCGTAACTTTGTCCACGGGATAATGTTGTTGTTTTTTAATTATATTACTAACGAATAATAATTACTTGTGAACTGTATTATTCATATTGAGTATTTGAAATAATAAAAGAAAAACTGAGATAATCAACAAAAAATAACACGATATTGCAAAATTCTCGTTTCTTGATAGTAGATACTTAAGAAATGAAATCGCAATTTTCTTACCTAATGTTAATCTTTAATATATTTTCAAATTTACAACTTATCGTTTAGAATATACATATATATGGAATAAAATCCAATAGCTATTTATTAGCTCACTTGTGAGCTTCCAGTAAAATGAAAAAAATCAGAAATACAGTTCTGTATTCGACGTCAAATGAAATTGAATAATTTTAATTTAGTCACTAAAATATGCAAGATACTATCTTCTAACTGTAATATATTTTATTGTTATGATAATTTACTTCTATTAGAAGTATAATTTGAAAATAATTCTATTTTTAAACTTATCACGAAACACGCTATATGATATAAAACTAAAGAATAACTAGAGATAATAAGAAATTTCTGGTTATATACATAGGGTAGAGCGGGGCTTAAAACTCCGCGGGTAAATTATCTCAAATTCAATTATCTCACCATTATCTCAAAAACAAGTGAAGTTTAGATTTTTTTACGATACTATTT